TATCTAATATCTGTTCCAGTAAAATTGCTATTGAAAACACAAGTCAATTTGAAGTCTGCAAAGGACTGGGCAAAATAAAGCATTACCTCTTTATTCCTATTGCATAAAAACGAAACAGTTACTGCCTTTGAAAGAACTAAAAAAGTCAAATGATTTCAGATCTAACAAGTGTCGATACAAATGTACTTGTACCTAGTGATTACTACTGATTACTACGTACTTGTACCTTTACCGGAAACGTACTCGCACAGAGTACAAGCGAAATTGTATGTAACAATCCTTTCGAAATGAAAGTGTAGTAGTTTGTTTTCAGACAGAATGGCATTTATTTATGTGCACACTACAACTGGCTGAGGTATCGGAATATCGTACAAAAGAGAAGATTTGCTAGGAAATTTGCGTTGCTATCTATCTACCGATACCCTAGTCATTCGTCGTTTGCTACAACCAAAGAATAAGACGCTTCATTTTCTTCCTAAACATCAACTTTTCCGACATCCCGAGCTTTTAAAAGGAGTATTAAAGGCTTGCTGCAACCATTGCAAGATCATTGATAATAAGATTCTTGTAAGCCGTAACTACTGAAGCAGGCACAACGGAGCGAGACTTAAATAGAAATTATAACGAGTGTAATCTGCTACAAGATCTAAATGCCAGCTCTCTATTGTACCCACTTAGATTTTGTATCGCACTCTACATTTATGAAAGTTCTAAGTGGCAGTTCGAATAATTACAGCTACGGTGGTATCAGGTATAGTAGAGATCATGTGAATTGTGGTCGACTGTGAATCAGTTGTTTTGACAACCAATGTACTTTCATAAAAGTTAGAATTCTGAGAAAACGTATCAAGAAAAGTACAAAAACGCGCAAGCCAACAGTGGATCCATTTTGAAAGACATTTGCAGGTTTTCAGATTGGTCTATGAATCGTTACTGCGTGAAGTTTGCTCTCAACATTGTTTTGCTTTGGTCTGATTTTTTTTTCAGATTCTTTTACCCTAGTTCTTTCGTAATGAAATTGGCAGCACTTCAAGACAACAACTGACTGATTTTGTGGAAAAACATTTTCGAATGAAATCCAGACATCATTGCGCTTTAACTAAGCAGACTTGCCTTGGAAGCCAACTCAAGAAAGTCGGAGGTGCTGCATTCGTTGGTGCAAAAACTTGAAATGATGAAGAAAGCTAAAGAATCAGATGCAAAGAAGTCACAACTTATTCGAAAAGGAGTTTTTAAGTTGGTCAGGTGTTGTCTTGCGTGCTGTCAGTTTTAAAAGACTGAGGAAAAGAATTTGAAAAAAATTAGACAAAAGCAAAAACCAAGGGGGGGGGGGGAGCAAACATTATGCAGTAACGATTCATGGACCAATCTGAAAACAATGTCTTTTAAAATGGATCCACTGCTGGCTTTGGAGCAACTTATTGTTTTATTGTCAGACGAAAAACGAATCAGTTGTTCGACTTGCTCCGAGTAGACTATTATTAGGTTGGCGGGAAAGTCTTTGCACCTTTTGCAATTTTTTTCCAATTTTTTTTTCCTTCACGATAACTAATAATTCACCTATATATTAGTTGTGTGCATTAATTTCCGCAGCCGAATTCAAAGGGTCGTTGCGTGAACCATATTAGAGGGGTACCGGTGGAACCTGTCATATTCTGGGAGATAGCGTATTGGCTACCTAGTTAAGGGCAGACAGATCAGTTTTCCCCCAAAATCCCATTGCACTCACCACAAGACTGATTGGTCATGGAACGTGATGAACCGTTTTCCCAGAGCCCTTCTCCTGCTGTTTGATTTCAAGAAAACTGGCATTGAAATCCACCGGATGCTTCTATGGAGGACTAACTCCACCTGAAGGAACCTGCAGTGATGCTTTCTCTTCACTCGAGAGTTTTCAACGAAAGCGTAATGACCATTCCAAAAGGTAATGCTGTGTGCGCATTTGGTGGTGGGATCAAAAGGGTTCTGTCATACTATGAACTGCTGAACCAGAACGAAACTGTTACTGCTGTCAGCTACGAAAACCAACATGACAGTTTGTAGGATGCTCTCACCTGCAAGCGGCCGTTAACCGCAAGAAAAGATCTTGAGGTGCTGTTCCACCACAAACGTGCCCGACCCCATGTTGCGAAGAATGTCCTTAAAAAATGCTGATTTTGGATGGGAACAGCTTGTTCAGCATACTCTCCGGATCTTACTCCTTCTGATTACCACCTATTCCGGCCCACGCAAGTCAGTTTGGCAGACACACGCCGACGGAATGCCCAAGAAGTGCGAAAGGAGGTGGATAACTGGATTGCCTCCAAAGATGAAGATCTTTTTAGACGTGGAGTCAACAAGTTACCAGAAAGATGGCAAGAAGTTTTAGCTAACGATGGGCAATACATTGGTTGATGTACATTTTGTTTCAATTTTTAATAAATATGCTTTTACAAGCAAAAAACGGCAGAAATTAATGCATACACCTAATATGCACCGTCACGTCAGAATTCCATGCTTTACGCGTCCGAGCCACTGGCTCCTCCCTGCAAAGTTTACTCAGAAAACTCTTCTCGTCCTTTATCAGGCAACCTGTGGTTCTTGCTTGCACAGAATCCCTGTGTTTTCGAGGAGAAAAACTCGCCGATGCACGTCTCGAGTTGATTCACATCACCGAACTTCTTATTTGACAGTCTGACAGCGACAGGAGCAGGTGATAATCCGTATAGCCAGGTCTGCTGAATACGGTGGGTAGGCCAAAACATGCCACGAGCCTTAGAGTTTCTTCTGGGCCTCTTCCGAAATGTGTGGGCGAGCACTGCTATAAAGAAGACTTTCCTCTATTTCTCTTGTAGATCTGCAGCGGTAAGGTTTACAGAGTGCACATCGGCTTTGATGCTGAAGGTGGAGTTTGGTAGCAGCAAGCCCCAGCGAATGATCTTCCCGAATGGCTCCAAACGCTAAGCATTACCTTCCTATGGTGGAGTTCTGGTCCGGGGGTCGGGATTCCATGCTCTACGCGTCCGAGCCACTGGCTATAAGGTTTACTTAGAGAACATGTTCTCGTCGCCGGTGATCAAGCTCTCCAGCCATGAGTAGGTGCGCCGGAATGTCAACAAGTCAAGCTCTACTCATTTGGAGGTATTGACCACCCAGCTCACTACTTATCTATATCCCCATATCTTCATATGTTTCCAAGGCGATCCAAAGAGCACTGTTTCAAAAGAGCACCTTCTACGTCTTGGCTATTGAGCTCCTGTATCAACACGCGGGTACTACAGCTGGAATCCTCTTCAACCAGTTCCGGAAGGTGGTCATCATTCACAACTGTTCTCCCAGAACGTGGTTTTTAGGTCTAGTCATTGGCTATTTTTGAACTTGTGGTACAAAATTCTTGTTGTTTTGTGAGAGAGAATGAAGTGTTTAACGTTTCTTCTGAACTTGTAAAGCAGATACGGTTCAACATGCTTTGAGTAGAGAGTGATTCTTGCAGCCATAACCGTTGCATAGTGCTACGACAATTACGGTATGAAGAGCGCATTGACATGCACTTACACATGTTTCGCAATGAACGCTTCGAAGCAATCCCCAAAGATTTTACAACATGAAAACGAAAATGTGCAAGTACTTTTCCGCCAACCTAATATTTTCAACACTATTACCATCCTCCTTCACTTGATAACTGCATTTTGACTGAATTGATTTCTTCGCGATATTCCACGAGTTTTCTAGACATTTTTCTTCGATTTCTTGAATCATATAATGTCTTTTGGATGTGATTTGTATTATTTGGTAAAGATTTATTTTTACCATTTCTTGTTCATGTAATTTTCGGGATAAATTAGCAAGGAAAGTCAAAACAACATGTGTCAATGCATACAATAGAAAACAAATTCTGCATACAATATAAAAAATTTCATTCACTAGCTGTACGGCACGCATCACGGACAACTCGTCCGCACACACTTTTTATCCCTTTTTCTCGTCACATTCTCGTCGGAGCACGAGTCTTATCGATCTTCTAAGTCTTATACTTCTGTGTATACTTCTGTGGACACCTAGTCACGCAATTTTTTCACTTACTTCTTCACTAGACCATCACTTCCATACTTCGTGGTAAAATACTTGCCCCGAAATTACCATGAACTGGAGCCTGAAGAAGTTGTAATGGTAAGAAACTTAACACCAGCCAAGGAAGGCGATTGCTATAATACACGTGTCGGAACTCATTGGGAGAGCACTTCTGCTATTAGCAACAATCTGGCCGCCGAATCAGGTTGCTCTTACTGCTAGATCCAGAATATGCAAAGTTGCGTCGAGAAAAATGCAGGTATATGTGATCAAAATTCTGCGTCCTATTACCATGTGCCTTGTTGATGAGTCACATTGAAGTGGCTTACAACCCCTTGAATTCATCTTTGTAAACTAGACGGTAACCAAGGAAAGGCTCACAATTATATGCACTAAAAGAAAGTGATTTTGTCCAAAGTTATGATAACAAAGTTGTTTCTGATCTCGAAGGCTTGAACAAAAGAAGGTTAACTACGAGGATGTGGTCACTTTTTAAACGCCTGCTGCTTTTTGAATTCTTGATTAGAAGTTCTATGTGCATCACACCTTGTGATGTTCATCAAGTAGCTCCAAATTCAGAACCTTCGAAGGAAAGGGGAGATTATGAGTAACCAGCCTTAAACCTTTTGTAAGGTGCAGACTTTTCTATTAATAAGGTGTACGCGTCTGCTAACAAGCGGTGAAGTACATATATCTAGGTCTACCGCTCAAAACCTACCGGCTGCATTAAAGTGATGCAACTATCGAGATGTAAACTCAGATCCTGCTATTTCCATTAAAATTTCAAACTTCAATTCGACAGTGAATGGATCCAATTTTTATTCTTAAATCCTCGATTGAAATTCACTCAAAGTCTTATACTCGTCCGATATGTAATGAAGCTAGCCGGAATGCAATGAAGAGTTCTATTTAGCTATTCAAAAGGAAAACGGCTGACCATTCATAGCGAGCTACTTTGCAGCTGTGGATAGTGTAGCAGTGCTTTTCGGTGCCACTTTTCCACCAGGTGTCACTTGTGCAGCGCCAGCTTTTTTCCAGCAAAATAGATGTTTTTGGAAAACTAGGCGATAATCCCTGCTGAAATGTTGCATTATAGAAAGGTAGCATTGAATTGAAATTCACATGTGACTTTTTCGGCCGAAGACACTCAACTACAGTTTCAGAATTCATATTCATACATGCTGCTTTGAAATCGCACAGCTTACTTCTTGCCTCAAACACCTATACTCCTGATTCAAACTGATTTAATAGATTGGAAAATAGGCTGATGATAGAAAAGTGTAAGTTATTCGAAAAACGGCCCCCTCTGTAGCACTTTCAACTATACCGAGGGATGATTCCCCTTCACGCAGGGGGTCACAATGTGTATATTGAACCATTGGGATTTTCGAAACAACTGTAATGGGCCTTTTCCAAGAATCAGATTTACGTTTTTGAAAGATTATAAAAGCACAACTATCGGCGAACCTATGCTTTCTATGTTCATTCTCATCACTCAGAGAGGTTTCATTGTCGACTTCTCAAAGGATACCTCCGGTTTTGTTAAATTTGGAAGAGTGGTGCAAAACATTTATACTGTCATGAACGTGAACATTCTCATAGGCGAATTAAAAAGCTCCATTGAAAGCAAAAGCAAGCTGGAAGAAGTGTGGATTTTGAAGCCGTTCACGATTTTTTCAGCCAATGTTGCAGAAAACCGAGTTTGTTTTTTTCCATGGTTGTGATCTGTATCAATGGCTAACCTGATAAAGTAGTAGATAAAAATGTTGGCGACTGCAGGTGCATTCACAAAAAGTCCAGCAAACAGATCCACGTCCGCTCTGGGAACATGATTTTCAACAACTGGTCCAAGTATTCCAATAAGGGTTCCAGTGAACCAACCCAACACTACAGTGAGACTGGTCACAATTAATGACCTGTATATATTCTTCATCTTGTCGTTATCTGCAACAGGAATATTGAACCATTTCGAACCGTGATAGAGCTTGGTGATTTGGCAACCTTTCATCAGCGCTTGTAGGAAACAGGATTGATGTTCCTGATCATACAGTAGCGCTCAAAAGTATTCGGCCAAATGCTTCATCAATTTCACTTTTCAGTCGTAACTCCTTTCGGGCTTGTTGTGATCATGCGAAATTCCAATATGTGTAGCGCGGGTGTATTATGAATATTTACTACTATTAACCCGCAATCTGATTGGTTCCCGATATACCAGAGGGCTTGAATCCAAAATCAACTGGAAATAGGGATACTGGTACTTCTAGGAGTTCTTTCCTTTCAACCATGTCCAAAGTATACGAGCGCCAATACCGAGCACAGTAGAGAAGGATAAAGCACATAAGGTGCAGATGACTGCATATGTCACTAACTTTGAAACGAAGTCTGCTACCGCAAAAACCACCCTGCTCCCAGCTATGTGGATATAGCTGCTTTGCCTACAAGCAGGGTTGGATGGTGTGAAATATGCTCAAGTTAAACATATCAAAATTCTGCGCGATTTGCTCTACGAAAAAAGTTATGAGCGAAAAAGTGTGAAAGTGTTTGGCCGAATACTTTTGAGCGCTACTGTACCTCTCGTTTACAGGTCTCATAAAAAGGACTGTCCAATGTGAGTAGGCATGTTCTCCTTATTGTCGATTTTTTGGCCACCACCTTTTACCTCACCCATTTGACTTCTACTTCTTACTCACTTCTCTTCCTAGGGTGCGGTGCAGTGGGGTCGCAATCTCGCGTTGCGGAGTGAAGGACGCCGCGACAGAATGCAACATCAGGTAAGAAATACAGGAACGAAAGAATTAATATTAGAATCGAGCCCAAAATAAAGATCGATTGAGCTGTTGAAAGATATGGAAGCCTTGCTGAGGATTTGTATAGACCGTTACTCCAGGATGAAGCTTATCCCTTTTGGTGAGAAAAAATCTGCTCCACTGCCTGATCTATCACGGAGAAGTATGTTAGGAAGATATCTCTTCTTGATCCCTTGATTTCTCTTAACGAACTTCAGGGTGAGATGGAAACTGACTATATTGAAAACCACCATGTACGAGACGTATTTCAAGCAGGAAGACAAGAGAGTGGTGCCAATACAATTTGGTATAGACTATGAAAACTCGTTATTGCCTGAATGAACCGAAATTATGTGTTCATTTGCTTCTTCCTTGCGCTCCCCACCTTGTTTCTGCCCAGTTTTCTACATTAGCTTCCTTCACAATCTTTCACCACGAATTTCTCTCTGATTTCCTCTGAAAAAAAAATACTTACTTGATGTGCTTGATGTGGCCTTCTTCATAAAATATAAGAACAGAGCATAGCAAAGAATGATAAGTACATTAATTACAATAACAAATTTCGTTATCACTAAGTATATATCCCCGGCCATAGGAGCGGTAATTTCACAGAGAACGTGCCTGTAATGGGATTTCTTTATTAAAGCGATTGTGGTAGAGGAAACTTTTGAGTTTGCTAGAGAAGTTAGACTGCTTCTAGCCATAGCTATGTAAGAGACAGCAGCTGGTTGAATATTAGTCACTTAGTTGGTCACTACATAAAGTAGACTTTTAGGGTAAAAATTCAAGAAATAAGGATAATAATAATAACAATCGTAGTAGTAATGGTAAAAGCAATAACTTATATGACTTTCATTCAAATGTCAGGGCGGGACAGAGAGAAGCGTACCGGTGGGGCCCCGCCAAAGAGGAAATGCCCCTAAAGATCAAATACCGAGGAGTCGAGGGTGGTCAAGAGTACTGTAGGTGATCAGTAGTGATCAGGAGGTGGGAGGCTAGAAGTAGTAAACATGCCTGGGGAAAGAAAAGGCGCGGGAAAGGCCGTATAAAGGGGGAACCTCGAGAGGGAGAGGTCGTCTTGTCTTCTGTTAGTCCCCTTCGCCCGCCGCCAGTACCCCCACGGAGTTGGCTCCGTGCCCGTAGAACCTAAGTGAGA